TCAAGTAAGTGTATGTTTTTTTTATCGCCGTTAACTTTCACATCCCCTTCACCCTCCCTCATTTTACCTAGTGAAAGAAGCGCCTGTGGACACAACCCCTCCCCCCTCATTCAATAAAAATTGTGTGGTCCCTGCACGGACCCCTATCCAAATGTATTCTAGAAACCCCACTGCCACTGATTGGTTGCCAACCGGAAGTGAAAAATTGCTACTGTTAATCAAAGTACTATATATAGCCTACACACATTTCGATAACATGCCAACATATAATTGCCCAGATGCCATATTTGTTAGTGTGTACAGTTCGGAAACCTTCGGAAACATATCAACACTCTCTCCTCGGCAGTCTTTACCGTTTTTCAAAATCAGCATTCTTAGATTTATAGCAACAAGACGTTTTTCTTCATTTCGAATTATTCCATTTGTATTTATTCCCCTTCCAAATTCACATTTTCTCGGAAATATTCGGCAACATAATATCATTATCAAACATCGAACTGTTTGCTGGTTATAAATCAATAAATCTCAGCCATAAAACTTAAACATTCAATCTAAACAAGAATAAAACAACAATATTCCTGATCAAACACATTTTCCCAATACACCAAGTTAAAATGTCACACTTCTTATCCTATCTGATTCCAATAATCAACACTAGCCTTAATCAATCTATTATCAAAATAACATGGAAATACAGTAATTTTTATTTTTGACATTCAATAATCAATTCCTCATATACTTCATTCAAATCATTTGTTTTCTGACTGTTCACGTTGATCGTACTGTGTTACATGTAATTAGTTTGCGGTTGCATAATAGTATTCAGTGGGTAAAATACTTAAACAATTATTTAGGATTTTATGGCAGAGATCATTGTGGATTATAGGGATGATGGTTTTATCAATATATTAAATGTGATGTCGATGTGTAACACTACGTTTCGACTGAGAATTTTAAAGTAAAGTAGCTTAGAGCCAGCTTTTTTGCCGAGCTTACTGTGTTTACATTGAGTTTACAGGAAGTAAAGAATGTTCAAGACTACCATTTAATCGTAGTTACCAGTGCGCAACCTATTGCCGAACGAGATAAAGCTGACTTAAACCCAAAAGAAAAACACGAAAGCTAGCTTAAAGCCACTGTAGGCGTATCGGATTTATCGTATCTACAAGAACTGTGAACGTATCGGATAGGTCGTATCTTCAAGAATTGTAGACGTATTGGATAGATCGTATCTACAAGAACTGTGAACGTATCGGATATATCGTATCTACAAGAATTGTGAACGTATCGGATATATCGTATCTACAAGAACTGTTAACGTATAGGACATATGGTATTTACTAGAACTGAAAACTTATCGGATAGATCGTATCTACTAGAACTGAAAACTTATCGGATATATCGTATCTACATGAACAATTGACGTATCGGATAGTTCGTATCTACAAAAACAGTTGACGTATCCAATAGACCGTATCTACAAGAACAGTTGACGTATCTGGTAAACGTATCGCATAGGTCGTATCTCCAAGAACTGTAGACGCATCGAAATGATCGTATCTTGGTTATTTCATGCAATGAAGATTTATCATCGACTCGCCATGTTGGGATTCTGTTTCTTGATTTTGCCTCTGCGAGCTGCCATTATATCTCTGAATCCTTACTCTCCTTATACCGGTTTTACTGACTTAAATTACAGAAATTCTAAAGTTGTGTGGGTAAAAGCCAAGGCTGCTGG